TGCAACCTTCCTGTATATGTTAGGTCAAAGTATCTAGTCGACAGCACACTATATCAGATCGTGCCGTAACGAGGACCTCAGCATGGCTATCACAGTGGGTCATCAAGGGAGATAATCTGGCAATCACAACACGTAGCATGTATTCTCTGGACTAGTTTAAATCAAGTCTTCATGAATGTCTTTCTCTCAAGGCAATATATATCATTTGATCATGCAAAATGCAAGAGCTGTTTTTATTATTTGGTTTAATGACTTTCATACGCATTGATATGTCGTCTCGTGAACGATAGTCAATTATAGGTGAAAAAAAGATAGTTCATGTAAAGAATAGTTTTTAGAATGCACAAGTAATGCTGACTCAATATCACAGATAATGAACATCATCCACCTCATCTGCGCTGAGATGTTCCTATAATATTCACATTAAAATGTTAAATTACAAAGACAACAGAAAAAAAGCGTCTAGTTTATTCGGATTAATTTGATATCCTATTTAGAAAAAAAAATTAATAATCGGAACATCATTTCTCGCGGGTAAAACACGTTTCCCGATAACTGAAAGGCGAAATTATCTTTCCATGGCACCTGTCAAGTTTGAGAGAAAACACTTTTGAAGATGATCATCCCAAATGTATATTTACCTATCAGCAGTATCCACACATACACTGGGGGACACACTCTAGATTATCGGATCTACTGCAATATTCAAATATCATGTAGCAGTCTATCGGAAAGACCCGAAGACGTTGGTTCGTTGTTGCAAGTTATCTGATGTTGGGATCGGAACAGAAGTAGGATTAGGACGACAACATAGAAAGCACTTCGGTATTGACATAATTTTATTGCATAAACTGGTTTACTAGGAGCCTCTTTGATCATAATCATACATTGCAACTGAATGCGTTTAGAATGGCAGACAGATAGAATATATGTATATTATATATGTTATGTTTGATATGCAGTGTTTTACGGGGAGAGATTGTTCCTTGTCTCTAAAACCTAATGGTTATATGACGTATCTGTGCCCCTGTACTTTTCCATACCGCAATGTTTAGCAAAACAATTACACTGTCAGTCAGACTTAAAAGTCATCTAAGAACGAGTACAGTTCCTTTTTAAATGATTCCATGTTGCATGTCATTTATTTAAAAGTTCGAAATATGTGGTTAGATAGATCTTCCTCACTTTTGTCACCTGTCAATTCGTACATTCATTGTGTGATACCAAGGTCGGAAGGAAGCCAGAAACATATTCATTCAAGTATGTTTTATCAATGACGTAGAGAAGATCGCTGTCTCCTACACTGCTCTCTATAATTCGTTTAACGTAATGGGTATTTTAATGTTATATTAATGATAGTGGATTCCACATGCGCTTTTATCTAAAAAATTGCTCGCGTGTTTATAATGTGACAAAAACATTAATTATACTTGCAATCTTAATTGGCAATATTTGAGTACAGAATTCATTTGGATATAATGTGCACGCCAGTCTTTGTCACAACTGCAACCCAAACGTCCGGTGTAACTTTATACATGGATACTCTGAGCGTCAGACAAATAGGTCGAAAGTTCTGGGTTCGAAACCTAGCGGAGAGCTTGATGTAAATAAATTACTATTGAATGTGAGAAAAATACCTTACTCATTGAAAGAGAGTAAATATACATGTTTATGTTGAATCTTACCATCACATTGTGAATGTGTTGTTATTTAAAAACCCAATTAACGAGATTCAAAAATTTCCTGAGACATTAAGATTAAAACATACTTCAGCTGAGCGGTATTAACGTGGTAGGGAAAATCACAATAAATAAAAATTAATAACAGGGGGTCCCACTTAGAATGTAAACTGATATTATATGAAGGGTGCAGTACATACATCGAAGTTTATCATAATAACGTGTTAAGTCTGCTGTCACACTAGACATGCTTGGCTGAAAGATACATGGCAGGAGTATTCAAATGGAAACAGTGCTTTCAGAGGACGTTATTGGTGATTAGTAAGCGTTCGATCAGTCTGAATTTTCACCATGGCTTTCGGGCCACGATCGCGGAAAGTGTTGTCGACATACTTATGATAAATCGATTAACTGTCGCATGACAAGAACTGTATTATATTTTAGACGTATAAAATGTACCAGTGGATTGGAATGTTTCCCTCTATAACAGACAATGTTTGAATACTGTATAGTAACCCAAGATACATCTGATTGATTATATAAAATTATGTAACATGTTCGACCTGATGTTTATCAAATGTGTTAAATCTGTCTTTATCAACAATACCTTCGTGTCTTTTTTTGTATATGGACAACATATTGTCTTATAAACTCGCTTCGGCCAGAATTCTGTATAGATGGACTTTTATCTCGTGCTTATGTATAACAAGAAAAAAGTCCTTCTAAGCCCAATATTTACACAGTCAATTACCTTATGTTTATTCATGTTCCTATCGTTGAAATAAGACACTTTATGGTCTTTTTCTGTGGATAGTCGTCTTTTACCTATACGTACAGAGTTCGATTCTTCGATCGGAACTGAAAAGGTATAGAGGTCACTTGCCCGACCACGTGGATTTCCCCGAATACACCGGTTTTCACCGCTTTCCTGTTTCTATCCGCGCAATAAAACATGATTGCTATAAGCCGATAACTTGTACTGTCTATGTTCTTTTCCCGGTCTAACCGTGAAGTAAAGGTACACGTAAACATATCAGTAAGAAGCTATTTTTAACAAATCAACTGTATGTTTATGATTCATTATTTGTTCTTTATGTTTAACACGGATTACAACGCACGTGTTTTACATGTACCACAAATGATACGCTTGATTTCTTATTATACATTTTTCGGATAACAACCTCAACGTATTAAGGATATATTCCTTTGTCGTTTGACCTCAAATAAGGCATAATTAGATATAGAATATACACAATGAATTCCAATATAATATCCAGGACTTTGGTAGCCTTATACTCTTTGTTATGTATAGTTGTATTTATAACTTTATAATTTTTTTGTTGAGTAACTTCGGTTGCGGACTACTTTTTGAAGATGTAGTTGACGATATGATTTGGTTAATAGCGTCAACAATTCCAATATTTTCTGGTTGCTAAGGGAATTCTCTAAAGTATAACTTTGGAAATCTTGGGTAGATTTCTACTAACATTTGTTTCTTGATCTTGCAAAAACTATTTTTTTGCTTTTTGTTTTTGTGAAAGTTGCAAGCATTATACACAATGACCCCCTGTTTTCAATCATAAAAAGTATCCACAAAAATGTCTCTATCCAAACATAAAGGCTTAGAATACGTTTCATACTAGAAGATGGTCAAATTAAGAATTGAAGTGATTTGGAACGGTCTTACATTTTTGTTGCCATGCAGTTGATAGGTCGTAAAATCAAATGAAAACTTAGAATATTTACATTATTTTTTATCTTAGCATCCAAGAATCATACCCTTACCTTGTAATGAAAGAAAATTATTTTAGAAAGCGAAAAGAAAAGTCAGGGAATGTTATTCAGGAAACAATACGTGGAAATGAATTACCCCCAGTTACACATGTTCTGACGCCGGTATTGAAAAAAAACTATTGATTCTTTGCTTTTAATCTACTTTCGAAATTCAAGCCTTTAAAAAAACCATCATCATCAAAAAAAGTTTAATATTTGTTTTACCAGAGGAGTACATCCTTGACTTAAACCAGTACAGCGTCAAGTACAAATTTAAAAAATCTTATTGTGTGTTACTCTTATATGTAGAGGGTGTACTCACAAGGAATGTGCGGGATGTCACAAATAACACTGTATAGAGTGTGAATCGCTGACAGAAATGGAAAAAATATATTTGACGCCCTGGTCAACATACATGATACATGAGCAACATAAACCACAATGAATCATCAGTAACATTGGCATAATTAACATGGAGACTAAAAATAACGAAGAAAATTACTCAGGTTTCTCAATAATTTCACATGAGTTGTAACAAATAATTCTTAATATTTTATAGCATTAGGAAACCGCTGATAGTATCTGAGAATATACTCAAACCTTTCTCTACTAAAACAAACATATTCATATTCGTGATCAATGTTTATCATATATATTGGACAGGTATGTTTTTCCCTAGGAATGTTTTACTATCTCGCAGACAATAAGTACGATGTCAGCATGATAACAATAGAATACTTGTAAAAGTGTTTCACTACAGGATTATGTTAAAACGTTAACACGCTATAAACGAATTACATGAATGAAAACTGAAAATTAAAACAAAACACAGCAGTTGCTAAGGGTCATAAGAAAAACAGGAAACATATACTGCGATGGACACATACAAGTAAAAGATATAATACACCTGATACACAATCACATATAACTACCGAAACATTTATAAATCACATTATACAGATAATTAATCTTCTATGAAGTAAATGCTACAGAAACACCGTCACAACAGCAACATTTAACCGCAGATACACGGAAACAATGGTTTACAAGTACAGCAACAAAGATGGTATCAACACAAAACGAAATGCATAACATAAACTGAAACATGTCAATTTGTTTTCCTTACGGACAAGCCTTTCCTGTATCAAACGTAACATTATCTCGCCAATATCTGTGCTATTATGATCTTCGTATATTGCAGTGAAGTTTGATATCTTGATAGCACGGAACTTCAACAGACGAACAAATATAACCTTACATTTGTTGAAAGGTGGAATGAGATCAGACATAATGTTAACACATTACATTCAGTTTATAGAGAGGAACGGAAGGTATCAATGTTCAGGTATGTCTGCCACGTGTCGAGGTGTGGATTGGAGGCGGTATTACAGTGTTCACAATGACCAAGCCCAGTACAGCAGAGATCGATCAGGAAGCAACGTTGTTGAGAATAAGGTGTGTAGTACAGCCTCGGCTGTATCATTCTAGGTCCTGCCACAGAGGTAACATGGTGGTAAGAGATGTTCAATTATACAAAAGTTCATAAATATGGTAGATCCTCATAATGTGTCACTGGTCAATTTTACAGATATCGGAAACAAGACTTATCAAGTGGATATCACGAAAGCTGTGGTTGTTGGCACCATTCTTACTTTTGTGATTTTGGTTATCATTGGGGGCAATGTACTAGTTCTCATAGCAGTTTACGCGAATTCACACTTGAGGAGTACTACCAATTATTTCATTGTTAACCTTGCTTGTGCCGATTTGTTGCTGGGTATTACTGTTTTGCCATTTTCAGCTACCCATGAAATAATAGGTTACTGGCCTTTTGGTCAAGTGTTCTGTGAAATATGGGCAGCCATCGACGTGTTGTGGTGTACTGGGTCTATAATTACATTGACCGCAATAAGTGTCGACCGGTACATTGGAGTGACTAGACCTTTACAGCATTCAACAATTATGTCAGAAAAAAAGGCATGCTACGTCATTATTTTTGCATGGATAGTTTCTGCTGCCATTTCTGTAGTACCTTTTATCGGCTGGAAAGAACCTCAATCCCCTGACCCTACGCAATGCACTGTTAATGCTGAATTAGGTTACGTTATTGTATCAGCATCAATTTCGTTTTACATCCCCATGTCCGTTATCATATTTGTTTATATCAGAATCTACAAGGAAGCTGTCAAACATTCAGCATGTTTACAAACAGGAATTAAACTGTCTAAACTTGAATCGGAAGGAGTGACTTTACGAGTACACACAGGAAGAGCCAATAGTCAAAATGGTACACCATGTACATACCAAAGCAGTAGTTCTTCAGAACATTCGGATACCTCTTCCCGGAGGGTGGTTGCCAAGTTTACCATTGCTGGCAAACTTGCCAAATTCAAACGGGAGAAAAAAGCGGCCCAGACGCTAGGTATAGTTGTGGGTGTGTTCCTTCTGTGCTGGTTTCCATTCTTCTTCTGTTTACCTCTCAGTAAGTATACAAATATTTGAAAGTTATTTCTCGAAATGTCTTCAAATTTTTATACAGACAGATTCACCATCCTGTTTTTTCCAGGTAATTATTACGTACATTTCTCTCAGATTTAATAGTCACCATCTATCACAGGACTTGCTGTCATATATCAATATAATTCCGTCAAAACCTACATCATGTGAATTCCTTTTGATGATAATTCTCTCTGTGATCACATGTCATCACATGATATAACAGTGACGATAGGTACCTGCTCGTGTTAATGCCGATAATATAACAGCAATCTGTGCACAAGCAGGTACTATTCTAAAGTCTGAATCATTTTTCTGTAATTATATGTCAAAACCTGATGCGATTTGTTAATGTTCAGATACAGTGCATGCTAAGATAACTGGCAACATTATCTTCAAAATTACATTTTTTATAAATATTATCACGTCATGCATCTTCCTAAACGCATTCCTCTGTTTTATACACATCAGTTAACGTTTTTATATAACAATATGTTACATTCATGTGACTGTATCTATTTTTTATATTCTATATCCCCACTTCTGTAAAAGAGGAACAGATCTAACACGATTTATCACACGCTATGTCTTTACTACGAATACAATCTTAGACTAGTAGAGTGTACCAGTACTGACAAACTCAACACTACATTTCACTTGAGCAGCGGGAATTTTGATACGGTGGGAAAATCAAAAGATGATATTTTCACGTCATTTCCTTCGGTGACGTCATTTGTGATTTCAAAATTTTCCTGAAAGGAGTTGAATTTAAAACTGTTTTAAATATAGATCTTAAAACTATTACTAATTCTACATTGATATTCATCAATATCAATACCATTAAATTGAATTGCTCCATAGCGTGATTCGTCGTTCTAAGATTGTACAAAATGTACACAAGTAATGACAAAGTGCGTCTTATCAACTGCTGTGATGTGAAATCGAATGCATTCTTTAAGAAAATGCAATATCCTTCTTAAATAAGAAAGATATTGTGTTACTTCGATAACAAAGCTATTTTTATTACTATATCATGAAAGGTTCATTTAAATGACAGATCAGGAAATAATCTCTTTAAACTGGAGAAGGCAATTTAAGTCAAGAAACGTTGCTGTAGAATTGGTAAAAGGAATAGCTTTTCTAAATAAAAGATAACACACTACTTATATTAGAAAGATTATATTTATAAATCATAAAAGGTACTATCTGTCTTATATCGAATTCGAAAAATATGATGAATGAAGAAAATATATTACATTCACGTAAATGTATGTGCTCTCAAGGTCTTTTCTATCAATTAAATCAAAAGAAGTGCTTCTAGACTTAAACATAAATCACAGAATCCTGCTGTTCTCAAATTCGTAAACCAATTTCCGTCAGTTGTACTTCAGATGAGACCAGCGGTACAAATTTTCAATGAGATAATATTGATGTGAGTGCTTCCTGAAAAAACGTTCCCCATGAAGCTAGCAATCCGATTTCAATATTCTAACAAAGTAATTAAATGATACTTGGGCAATCGATATGGAAATAGGAGTATGAGCACATGCTGAATTGTGGAAAAACATAACTTTAAGGAAAAAATAAAAGAAGAAAAAAGAAAACCAGAAAATTTTACTTCTTATGAAGACATGTAGAAAATAATACTAGTTCTAGATTGATTTACATTGTTTTTCCACAATATATTAGCCAGATCTAAATTCTTGAATATTTTCACAGCCTTAGACAACTCCAGAAGTTTTCTACGGTAGCTTAGAACGCTACGGTCCGTAAGTAAACCGATTAAAAAAGTAGTCGGTAAGAAACAGTGTTCAGTTTTCAGTGTGATGCAGTGTGTATACAATTTAACCAATGCGTCTTAATGTTATTTCACTGCATTGTTTAGTTTTTAAACGCGGTCGTCCCCACGATTGGCAGGCATTCGTCACTATTTTATCGGGGACACGGTTGCTGGTAATAGGGGATACAAGTAACAGTGTGAAAACGTGACGATTCGTTCTGTCTTATCGCAACATTATCATGATAACAGATATCCAAAACAACAGAGAAGTGAATGAAATGCAATTTTCATGTATGTTTTTTTTAATGAAAAATAGATATCAATTACCATAACCGACGAAACCGTTAATAGAGAGACTATTATTGTAAATAAACCTCGACACGGCCAGCTGATTTACTACAATAACGCTTCATTTTTTATATCCAGGTTTCGCATTTAACGATATAGTACACTCGAATTTTGAAACATTGCTTTAGAAATACCCACATCAGTTATAGAGTTATGAGCTATAACCATAATTTATTTAACAGTTTATACATTGTTATAAATTTCCCTTACACATTCATTCTACCAAATGTCAATGATAAAAAGTAAACGTGTTTGAATCCTTTCTTGTATATACAGTATGCAATGATTCGGCACATTAGTATCAATTTAGGTTGGTTATTGGGTTTTATGATAAGTAGACACTTGTTTTGGAAATTAATCATGCAGGTAATTAACTTCAACAAAGCAATAGTTCAGTTACTTCGTCACATAGTACATTGTAGTTCTCTACAGGACATCCCTGTTAACGTCTCACGCCATTTCAAGATTCTTGAAGAACGCTTTTGCATGCAGTAAGAAATTATTTCAGTACCTTCTGTTTTGGTATTTATATAAGTATTTTGAAAATGAACGTTTGTTCATCTTAAATATTATTACATAAATCAACGTGGCTATACACGCGGAATGATAATGGCGAATAAACAGTCACCAACCGTCGTGTTTGTAATTTGTACTTAGCCTACATACGACGTGTTTTCGAAACACATGTCCATACACTATGTCAGCATTGATAATTGATGGCAATTTATCTACAGTATGGACACATTTCTCCCCGAAAGCGTGAATATTACTTTTAAGACTTTTAACGCTAATCGATGTTATACAAAACAGTTTACAGGTGTTTCTTTCGTTGGTATTGTCAAGGATGCCGTCATAGCTTTGCCGACGTCAAGGGGCCGTTTACAGAGCCTGCTAAGGAACAACAACTCTGGTATAGATTGTCATTCTTTTACGATGTACAACGTTGCTTTAAAATTCCTGGGTCGTGGAAACAGCATAAAACAATCGTGCTTTTGTCTGTTCTTTTTGTGAAGTGTACAGGAACCATGTTATAACTTGATTTGATTTGTTAATCGTTATCATCAAATTGATATAATTTTTTTCAAACCCACTTGATTCGTCGTCATGATAACTAGTGAAACTTCATAAGAAACACCATTTGAGTGTAACATGTACGATGTACGTCAAACGACAGTATAGGATAGGATTATTTTGTGTTTTTGTAAACAACTTGATAATAGGTATGTGTTACTTAAATTCAAGTAATTAAAAATACCAAAATGGCCGAAGTGTATCATTTCATCGGGATAATGGTGATTATCAGGATTCAGTTACATCGAGTTTACAATATCAATGTTCTGTCTATTTAACGTTATACTTGAAACTTGGATTAACTTTTCAATACTGTCTGTCTATATTTTCTTTTTAACAGAACTCATAAAGTATGTTAGTAAAACAATATACCATGAACATTTTTATGACGGTGGCGTGCCATCTTTGAAGTTTACCACAACCCTGTGATAAGTAGGTATAATTGTCTACTGCCGTTACATAGTGCCACACTACCGTTTAATGGTGAATCCGGTAATTGAAATATACCATATCGCTTTATCTACTTGCTCACGTATTCTATAACTGGTTTAGAACATATTCGGTACGGACGTGGAAAGATACGGTTTTCTCAGGTACTCCGGTTTCATCCTGTAGTAAGTACATCCTGTAAGTAAAGAGTGATTTACTAGGAACACCTTTTCTTAGCAATTGTTATAGAATAAATAAAAGGAATTTTACTTTTTGACTTAATTTGGTATGCTCAACATTGTTGTAACAGAAAAAACTCTATTGCAGAAACCAAATCGACAAATTTATTGGCGTTTCCGCAGATTGGACTTGTAGTCTTTCACTTTCATGTGATAAAGGCGTTCATGTTTGACCAATACCATACTATGTCTTATAAAAAAAAAAAAAAAAAAACCACCCCACAAAAACAAAAACAACAAAAAAACCCTATTCGGTCAATGAAGGGTTTTTCTAGAGAGCTGTACATATCCTTATATATAGGTCACTTGAATAACTAGAACATTTCTTATTTTGTCCAAATGTCCAGACATCTTTCTAGTAGGAGACCGACTTATTGATGTTTGCAGAATTTCCTTTTAGATTTGCATTAATAGAACTGTCGCTGAGTTGGGAATGTGCCGATTGTAGTACACTGTAAAGGATTCCAATGTCTGTGCCATGGATCTGAGTTTCATTCTAAATAGACAGACGACGTGAGTTGTAGGATGTAAAATCATATTTGATAAACGTGAAATATCATTTTACGTAGATTTATTCTATATACAGACAAAATCGTTTCTGAAAAATGTCTTGAATAGTAATAATAATTAGTATTAAGTTCATGTACACATGTACTTGATGGGTTTACATTTTGACAGCCCTGCCTGTACATATATTGAATCCTGTGTTTGATGGTTGGAACATTAGACAGCTGACCGGACAAACGACTGATATCTGATGATTATCTCACAGGTCGTGTATCAGTACAATACCGCTACTCGTATTAGAATTCGATTTGTCAACTTATATCGGTGTCTGCCTACATTAATTTGTCTCAACTTTACCCCGTACTGCGGTCTTACAAGACCTCTTCGATCATGTTATGTTATGATTATATCAAGATTCAATTTTGACTGCAATCAGAATGTTTTCATATAAATATGCATGCTATCTCATATAAGTGCATAAGGTAGTATTTTGCCTGTATACGAGATGCCCAGACGCACTTTGTATCATCTCGTATAAACTTATTGAATAAATGTCTGAATCTAAAGACTCGCTCTTATACAAGAGGATGTAAACTGAAGATAAGGATACTC